TGCCGTCTATGTAATGGATAAATACAATCCCATCGAGACATGGGTAAATATATTAATAAAGTTTTTATATCAAATAAAAACAGAAATTTATAGTTTTAGAGAAAACCTATTATTTACACCCATTTTAAAAATTTTTTTTCACGAAATGAATTTATTAAATGTAAATATTTAAAGTCGCAACCATATTCAATTCGGGCAAGTCTTAAAGGAATTAGATATAATAGTGGATTTTGCACAAATGGCAACGAAAATCAGCAGATCTCGGAGGAACCAACAATGAGTTGCAAACTACTTGAAGCAATTTTAAACAATTTTAATTATTTTGATCTGCAACCGGTAACAAGTATTTGATCTGTAAAGCTTAGAGGAAACTTTGACAACTTCAAAAACAATAAAAATTTAACTGTTTTCTGATATTAGTGACGTAACCAAATACGTCTTTAATTTGTGTTATTTATTAATTGATATTCCAAAACAACCCTTTTTATTTATTTACATTAATTATTTAGGAGAAACATACAATTAAACTTAGAAATTAAAAGTTCTTTCATGCATTAATGCGCTCACAAATTGAGCCCCGTTCCGATGAAGTGACAAATTCCCTTCATCTGGAGCCAGATTGTATTTAATTTTCCTGCCTATTTCATCCTTATTTTTATTTTAAACCGTATAACTCTTCTTATTCCTCCACATTGTTTAATGTCTAATCAAACTTCTATATACTTTCTATTAATTCGTATTTTTGCGAACAACTATATTAATTGTACTTATCTATCACTTATTTTATATATATACTCATATTTATACTTTACTCATCTAGTTTATCATTTAAAAAAGTCATATACAATGATTTACATATAAATCAGATAACAAAAAAACCTATATACTATGTATATAGGTAAGCATATGTAATTTTTGAATATTTTAATAGTTTCTGTAATAAAACTACAAAACTATTACTTTTAACATAGCGACAGCAGTTTTTTTTTTTTAATTAAAGCATCTTATTTTATTCTTGATAAAACAAATAAATAGATTAGTGTTAGTCTACTAAATTAAATCATTTAAGTTCTGTTTTGCATTAGGAGTTGACATATAGAAAAAGATAAAGGTTGAGAAATCTTTAAAGTATTTTTAACTCATTTAAAATTTAATTTCTATAAACATACTAATGAAATTATACAAAATAGTAAATCTTATATTTAAGATCTAATGGAAAGAGTATTAAAATAGTTATTAATAGAAATTTTTATATTATTCTCTTAAGTTTTGATTATTTCATAAAATAATTTGTAATGAATACTATTAAATTTACAATATACTACATGAATTTACAATATAGCTACTTACCAGCAACAACGGAATCATGCTTAATTGTACGCCTTACAATCATAATAGCGTCGTGCAAAGAACGCTCAGTTTCCTCCAAGAACTGCTCAGCACCACCACGCAATATCATGGTACATGTTTGTGCCTGCGGGCAACCTAAATATTTTTTAAATACAATATTAAAAACACAAAACAAAAACAAAAACTAATTT